ATATGAAATCTCCAAAATATTTTGCTGCGTGAAAAAAGCCAGACAAAGAGTACATACTGCATCATTTCACTTGTGTGAATTTCAATAATAGACAAAAGTAATTCCTGGTGAAAGAAATCAAACAGCCTTTGCCTCTGGAGGGTGGGGGGAACTGACTGGAAGGAGACATGACAGAAATTTCTGGGGTTCTGTATCTTGATCTGGGTGAAGATAACATGAGCCTATACCATGGTCAAAACTCAGCAAACAATATACTTAAAAGTGTGCATCTATATCAGTGATGGCGAACCTATGACACGCATGTCAGAGGTGACACGCGAACTCATTTTTTTGGTTGATTTTTCTTTGTTAAATGGCTTTTAAATATATAAAATAAATATCAAAAATATAAATCTTTGTTTTACTATGGTTGCAAATATCAAAAAATTTCTGTATGTGACACGGCACCAGAGTTAAGTTAGGGTTTTCAAAATGCTGACATGCCGAGCTCAAAAGGTTCGCCATCACTGATCTATATATATAAAAGGCTAATATGCTAAGTGTCCAACCATCTGACCGATCGCTATGATGTGCACTGACCATCAGGGGGCAGACACTCAACACAGGAGCTGCCGTGCTGCAGTGACTTGGCAGCAGTGGTTCTTGGGTGACGCACCCCAAAACCAGAGAGGAGGGAGCCCGATTCCTCATGGGGCTGCACGATTCCACCTTCGGCTGTGGGTTATGTTGTTGCTGGGGCACTGTCGACCCTGAATCTAGTTTACTGCACACCCTGTAGGACAGCAACTTTGCAGAGTGCCCTCTCTCACTCCAGGACCTCTCAGGGCATGTCAGAGAGCCAGTTTCAGCCTGATCCCTGCAGGCCAGGCCAAGAGACCCCACCTGCCAGAGGGACCCGCTCACTCTGCAGACACTGGGGAGGAGGAACAGCGGGAGGTTGGCTCCAGGGCATGTCCAGCCCATCTCACCCAGTCCCACCCTGCCGGCCACCTTCTAATTAATTTCCATTCAATGTGCATGAATCCATGCACCAAGTCACTAGTTTTACTATAGGTAAATATATACTTATAAAGTATACATATATGCTTTATTATCTATACTAATAAAACCCTAGGTGGTCCTCGTGCCCTCACGCGATGCCCTCACGTCACCACAAGATGGCCGGCAGGGGAGGGCAGTTGTGGGCGATCAGGCCGGCAGGGGAGGACAGTTGGGGGCAAACAGGCCAGCAGGGGAGGACAGTTGGGAGCAACCAGGCCTACAGGGGAGGGCAATTGGGGGCGACCAGGCCAGCAGGGGAGGATCAGTTGGGGGTGACTAGGCTGGCAGGGGAGGGCAGTTGGGGGGGACCAGGCCTGCAGGGGAGGGCAGTTGTGGGCAATCGGGCCAGCAGGGGAGGGCAGTTGGGAGCGATCAGGCCCCAAGGGGAGCAGTTAGGCGTCAATCAGGCTGGCAGGGGAGTGGTTAGGGGGTGATCAGGCTGGCAGGCAGAACTGGTTAGGGGCAATCAGTCAGGCAGGCAGGCGAGTGGTTAGGAGCCAGCGGTCCTGGATTGTGAGAGGGATGTCCCAAATTAGAGAGAGTGAAGGCCCGGGCTAAGGGACACCCTCCCCCTGCATGAATTTCATGCACCGGGCCTCTAATATATATATAAAATAACATTTATTTAACCGTGGCCAGTGTGGCTCATTTGGTTGAACACTGTCCCATGCACTGAGAGGTTGCTGGTTTGATTCCCATTCAGGGCACATGCCCAGGTTGCTGGCTAGATCCCCAATAAGGGGCATGCAGGAAGCAGCCGATCTATGTTTCTCTCTCTCCCCCACTCCCTCTCTCCCCCTCTCCCTCTCTCTCTCTTTCTAAAATCAATAAAAACATAAATACATACATACATTAAAAATAATAATAACAACACTCATATAGCATAGAGATGTAAAATTTTTTAGGCATTTCTCCCTTTAACATGAATTAACTCCAGCCCTGACCAGTTTGGCTCAGTGGATAGAGCGTCGGCCTGCAGACTGAAGGGTCCCAGGTTCAATTTTAGTCAAGGGCATGTACCTTGGTTGCGGGCACATCCCCAGTGGCAGGGGTGGGGGGGGTGCAGGAAGCAGCTGGCCGATGTTTCTCTCTCATTGATGTTTCTAACTCTCTATTCCTCTCCCTTCCTTTCTGTAAAAAATCAATAAAATATATTTTTAAAAAAATAAATAAATAAAAATAAAATGAATTAACTCCAACCTGGTAGATCCATTTAGATTGATTCCTTCACAATCCAGGCCTGCTTCATATAATACCATTTGCTACAGACTATTTTGGTCCGTGCATATTTCCAGAGACCTACCATGAAATAGAAGCAGCAGAATTTTCTTCCACAAGAAGACAGTGACATTTCCATACAGACAGCACCCACAGTGGCCCATGTCCCTCGGAATGGCTAGCTCAGGGTGCAGACAACACAAAAGCAACATTTTCCTTTCCATGTACCAAGTATGAGCCTACCTAATATGATTAAAACACAGTAATCAAGGCCCAGTAAGCGCAATCCTGGCATAATTTAAATCATATTCTCAATATAAAAGAGGGATCAGAAGATCAGGGAAATGCTCTCTAGTGCCACAGTTTCTGTAATGATGTTAAAGAGCTAACTATGTCCGTGTAATTATCACATGAAGTAGCTTTCATTTTGTAGCAGATTCCAGGCCAATCGAGAGCCCCCAGCCACATCCTTATCCTAGCCCACCACAAGGAGGACTAGAATATTTACACACACACTTGCTGTGGACAGTCCTGTGCTGCGCGTGGAATGGTTCTGGGTGAAGGGAACAACATAACACTTGGAGACACTACCATCTTCTTCCAACCCAGAGAAGTCTGATTCCAAACACACCTGATTATCTGACCAACCCTTCCTGAGTTCCAGGATGAGGCAGCCCTGGCTGGGACAATGCCTCCAGGACCTCCGCTAACTCTTGGAAGAGGTTCAGCCATACACCGCATATTGATGTGGAAAACAGCTCCCATACAGAACCCAATGGACACCTGCAGATCCCCAACTAGATAGATGGCACCCCTCTCTCCAAAATGCCCTGAACTGAGACCGGTAGCTGCTCCCATCAAATGCTTTCACACAGTATGTACTCTACAGTTCTATCAAGAAACTCACAATCCAGGTAACTAACATTAACAGCTAGACTTAGAAATAAATAACTGCTCAAATTCAATTTAAATATAACAATAATAGCTCATTTTTATTGAACACTTTCAATGTGCAAGGCACTGTTCTGCATACTTTTTGCTTATTAGCTTATGGAATACCCTCAAAAAAGCCAGTTTGCAGATAAGGACACATTCTCTGGTGAGGCCAGGAATTGGCCCTCAAGCAAAGCCTGGGGAGATAAGCAATGAATGAAGCACTCTCTCCTTCAATGCCTCACTACCTTGTATGGAAATGAGGCGAGAGATCTAACTCACGCTTTAGAACAAAGAAAAAACTAAGAGGTACAGCCTCAGGGCACCTCAGAGGAGGAAGGATTTGTTCATCCTGGATGGTTGTTGGAGGGCTTCTTGGAGAAGGTGTCCAAGAAGGAGAGGACATAATGGAAGGAGCTTTCCAGGACTGTCACCCCTCGGCTCCCAAAGCTAAAAGGCCGGGTCTACTCTGCCTGGTCTCAGCCCCCCACCCCCACCCCCTCTACTCTGCCTGGCCCCCTCCTGTCTCATCTGGAACAGGCCTGTTAACCAGGCAGGACCAGCAGCCCTTCTTCCCTTGGCATGCTCCTCCAGCTGCTGTTGCCCCTCCAGACCAGCAGGCACACATGGGCATTTTCACCACACGCAACTCTGCCACTTCCTGCAGCTTTCATGGTAGAGAACTGCCTCAGGCACAGGTAGTCCCAGGGGTGCCTTGGGGAATCGCTGTTGGACAATCCCTTGCCCTCACCAACTCCAGCACGTAAGGGACTCCCCACCACCAGCAGGACGTCACTCCTCTACAGACTCTGAGAGGGACTTGCTTCCACTCCCTCCTCACAAGGCAGCCTCTCCCTGCCCCCAACAGTCAGCTCCCCACCTCTCCCGCCTCAGTGCTTAAGGCTCTACAGCCAAGGCTCAAACCCTCACTTTGGTAACTGTGTGACCCTGGGCAAGTAACTTAAGGGATGTCGATCCCAGTTTCCTCATCTGTAATGTGGGTTTATAAGGATTCTTGTGACTCGGAACCAGATAATGCAAGGAAAGCGTTTTACAGAGTCTGGCACATAGTAAGTTAATAATGAGTAATAGCTATCCTTATCCTCAGCATCGGGGGGTGATGGAGGCAGTGATGGGTGAGATGGTAGTGGCAGCATCAACTTGGGCTTGATTGGCCCCAAGCGGGACATACCCCTCCTTCCCTCCTCCAGCTCCCCGCCCCCCAAGCCTTCGGGCTGAGCCACACCAGGAGACACGTGCGTCCTCCAGCTGTAGAGTGAATGGCCCGGGAACATGGGCACCCCAACCCACCTGGAGGGTTGTGGGGTAAAGATGATTTTCTGGTGGAGAAGGTCCAATTGGCCCTGCCCTCGCTCATACCCATTCTCCACGTCTGGACAGACAAGTGGCAAAAGCACGCAGCGCTGCGCCTGCGGCAACGCTCCCCCAAGGAGCTGGAGAGCCTCCACTGTGCCCCCAGCCTCAGCTCCCCGACTGTCCTCCAGGCCCAGGCGACTGTCCTCCAGGCCCAGGCGAAACTGCGCTGCACTGAGTGGCCGAGATAACAGGTTGGCAAACAGGCGCAAACCCAACCCTCTTCCCAAGGCAGGTGAGCAAACAATCTGCAACCTCTACACAACTTTGTGTATTTCTCCGCGACAGGGCGCACGGCCTCAATTTCCCCTCCAGGCTGCGCTCGGAAGAGGGGAGCGGGAAATCGAGATGCCCCCCCGGGGGGAGGGGACGGGGGCCTCTCCGCAGGCCGCCGCCCGCCTCTGGAAGCCTCCCGGAGGCGCGTCCCGCCTTACCTGGTCTGACGGCTTTGAAGGTGACGGCCTCCTTGCAGCTGTCCAGGACGCCCAGCACGTCGTAGCGGGGCAAGCCGGACACCCGGACCCCCTGCACCTCCAGCAGCAGCTCCCCTGCGCCCAGCCTGGGGCCCTCGCCGCCGCCGGGAAGCTCCGCCGCCGCGGCCACCGCTCCGACATACAGAAACTCCCCGTTCTCCGCGCCCCCCAGCACCGTCACCCCCAGCTCGCCCTGGGGTCCCCGCTTCACGGTGCATTCGTGAACCTTGCTAGTCCAGTGGTTCTTCTTCTGGATCACTTTCGACATGACGAGTCACACCCCTCCTCCCCCCAAAACAAAAATAATAACACGAGAGACAGGTGCCCCCGCAGCACAGCCCCCGAGCCCCCGCCGGCTCATGGGAGAGACGTCTCCCTCCAAAGGACGCCGCGGGAGAGAGAACTTGGCGGCCTCGCTCCCCGCACGCACGCCGACTCAAGCCATCATCAAACAAACTTTCCGGGCGGCCCCGCGAGCTCTGCACCGGCGCCCGCGAGCTTTGTTTGCATTCCGGCGCTTCCCGGTCCCCGCTCCGGCGCCCGGCCGCGCTCCCCGGGACCAGAGTCCACTCTGCGCCGCTCCGGCTATTTTTTCCTTCCTTCCTTCCTTTCTTGCCTCCTCCAAACGCGGAGCCTCCTCTTCACCTCCCGCCCGGCTCTGCCTGCCCCGCCGGCGGGCTGTTCCTGAAGGTGAGGGAAGCCCGTCCGGCCAGTTGCTGGGAGCCCCGGAGACGCCGTCGCCGAGCGGGGGTTGGGCGCCAGGGGGGTGGGGGGAGCCGGAGGGAAGCGCCTGCGGCCCCTTTAAAGCGGATACAAAAGGCTCGGCTTTGTTTTGTTACAGTTCATTCTATTCCGCGCCCGCCGAGCGCAGCGGCCGGCGAGAGGAGACGCGCGCGCATGCGCCCCCGCGGTCG